CCCCCCCCCCCGCTATTCCGTCCATCGTTCAACTGCCTTACGCTCGGCGAATCACCAGTATCCACCCCATCTTTCACCCCCTCCCGCTATTCCGCTCATCGTTTGACCGCGTTACTGTAGACAAAACAAGAGTACTCCCTTCCCCCTCTCGCCTCCGGCCGAAACAAGCATGCCCCCCCCCCTCCCCCCTAAACCTCCTTACCAGCTCCTTCCGGAAAGCCCTGAAATTCTTGGTGACGGAATTGGGCTCGACGATCTCCTTGCCCTTGACCTTGGGCAGAGTCTTGAGCCTGTCGAACGCCTCGTCCGAATGGAAAGCCGCCATCACGTCCGTCGCGTCACGTTCCTATGCATACCCGTCCGCGGAAATCATTTTTCGGGGGGAAGCGAACAAGCAAAAAGAAGAGAACGTCACGTAATTTCATGCGGGGATGGGGTGGGGGGTTTCAGCGGTGTGCTTGCCCCGTATCATGCGGCGGCAGGTGGCAGCAGAGACGTGCCTACCGCCGTCATTTACCCGAAATGAGATTGTACGAATCAAAATTCACGGCACAAAACGAAGGGGACACCAAAGACGATCGCAAGGTGAACGCGTGGCTCCAGCGACTCTAGAGCAACTTTCGTAGCAAATGGTGCAGTTGGTGGGTGGCAACGACGACTGAAGGTTCGTCGCGGATACCCGTCGTTTCTCCGACCCAGCGCAGCCGGGGTGTGATCGCCAAAAAGCAACGCCGCAGCCAAAACTAGAAAAACCAAAGAATGCATTGCTTACTCACAAGACGGAACACTCCTTTCACTTCAGGACACATCTGGTATTTGATGCTATACAGCAGTCCTGGTAGTTTTTGCTTCCTGTAATCGGAAAATGTGGCGCAAAAACACATCGACACACACACAGCGAAATTTGAAAATTGTTATTGACGGCCACGGATCGGGCTCATTCACGCGCGCAGGATCACTGCCCCCCTCCTCCCTCCCCGGTTGTGGATAGCCGGGAAGCCCAATCAACCGGCATATCTGGTGGCACGGCAAGGACAAGGATGATGACCAGCTTCTGGATAATCCTTGTGAAATGTAGCCTTGGCCAGTGACAACCCGGCATGTCGCTCTGTTCCTGCACTGTAGAGATGCGGGTTCAACGGTCGTAACGACGACGGCATGCGTTTGCATGAGAAATCCCCTCCCCCCCCCCCCCC